CTCCGGGGAGGCGGTGGTGGCGGCAGCGAGTCCTCTCTTCCCCGCGCGCCCGCCGGCTCTGGGGAGGAGGCGGCGGCGGCAGCAAGGCCTCTCTTCCCCGCTCGCTCGCTCTGGGGAGGAGGCGGTGGCGGCAGCGAGGCCTCTCTTCCCCCCCGCCCGCCGGCTCCGGGGAGGAGGAGGCGGCGGCAGCGAGGCCTCTCTTCCCGCCCGCCCGCCGGCTCTAGGGAGGCGGCGGCGGCAGCGAGGCCTCTCTTCCCCGCTCGCCTGCCCGCCCGCTCGCTCACGCCGGCTCCGAGGAGGAGGAGGCGGTGGCAGCGTTCGCAGAGCGTCTCCTGCACACGCGCAGGAGACGCTCTTGCACTTTTGGGGGGAATTAAACTTCCCCCCGAAATTTTTTTTAACTTTTTGTGCACACATGGGGACTGGCCCACGTGTGCACAAAACTCCCCCGGCCCCCCAGGTGCCCCCGAAGTGCAGATTTAGATATCCGCACTCCGGGGGCAACTTCAGCATTAGTATAAGGATAAGCATGGCCCACCTTATGACAAACAATGAAGGTTTTGCTTCCACATGGGGACAATTCTCCATTGTGCTCTGATTGCTGCTGCTTCTTGGCTGATCTTGTCACATCTTGGAACTTAAAGAGGATCAGCCCTGGTTAGTACTTGGATGGGAGACCACCAAGGAAATGTAAGGCTGTTGTGTGGAGGCAAACAATGGCAAACCACCTCTGTTTGTCTCTTCCCTTGAAAACCCTACAGGGTCAGCATAAGTCAACTGCGACTTGATGGGGGGGGGGGAATGTAGAAAAAGCCCAGCAGGAACTCATTAGCATAATAGGCCACACCCAACAGAAATTCATTTGCTTATTAGGACACACACCCCTGACAGCACAGCTCATTAGCATATTAGGCCACACACCCCATGTTCGCAGAAGTGTGGTCATCCAGACACACCCACCTTTTGCTTCTTATTCTGTTTACCCTGTTTGTTGTCAAAACCCAGGGGGTTTTTTTGTAGCAGGGACTCCTTTGCATGTTAGGCCACACACCCCTAATGTAGCCAGTTCTAATGAGTTCTTGCTGTTGGGTGTGGCCTATTATGCTAATGAGTTCCTGCTGGGTGTGGCCAACTCGGGAGCCAGCCGGAACTCCGTTCCTGTGCGTTCCTGCCCAAAAATAGCCCTGTGTTTCCTACATCCACCCATTGTTTCACCCTCTCTTTTCCACCAGTGAGCTTTTTGGTTTTTTAAGAGTTGTTATTGGTCGCTTGCATATCACTATCGTATGTTAAAACTACAGCAGTATTTTTACCATCGGTAATTCTCAAGAATTGGCAAAATGCTCATCAACCGTGTGGGTGGATGGTGGGAGGGAAGGGAAATGGTGCTAGATAAGGTGCTGGATGTGGGCAAGTAAGTGAGGAAACACACACCTTCTCTTACCCACTTTCCCCTATCCACTTTGTGTACTATCTTGCACCAACAAAGCAGGCTTGAGGCAAACCACAGAAGAGCCAAAGACAACTCAGAAACTTGATAGAAACAGAGTGATGTTGTGTGCAAGCCCAATTTAAACCCACTACAGTTTTGGAGGAAATGTTGAAAGAAGAGCTCCATGCGAAAGCGGCCCAAATGTTTATATATAATATTTTTTAAATCTATCCGTTACCTGTTTTGTTTTGCCAATTAACATCATTTCTCCACTTTAAAAAAAGCATTGGCTGTGCTACTGTGATGTAATGGAATGTTCATGCATGTGACACCCTTTGCTTTACAGCTTTGGCCCTCTTGACATTTAATACATGGTCTCTTCGACCAAATGTGGAGGCTACTTTGCATTAAAAGGTTCCAACTCGCCTTGTAAATTACATATAAACTCTATGGTTCTATGCTCAACATTTTTTCTTTTTTTAAAAAAAAAACAATTTATTAGGATATATTTAGACATATTGACATATATTTTAAATTCAACGTTACAATCCTAACCTATATCCTACCCCCCCCACCCTTTCCCCCACAACTGGCCTCCAGCAGTGCTCCGACCTCCAGCCCCAAACTTTAACTTTCAATTTTCCCAACTCCACTTTTTCTACAGGTAACAGTTACTTAAAATACAATCAAATAATTCTTATTCCGATTTTCAATAATTGTCAAAACAAAACAAAGTATCTTTTACATCACTGTTCTTTTCCAAATATTCTTTAAAATCTTTCCAGTCCTCAAAGAAATCTTCTGCCTCCATGTCTTTCAATTTTCGTGTCATTTTGTCCATTTCTACCAAAAAAAGTAGTTTTCTTATCCAATCATTAACTTCTGGTATCTGTTCTTGCTTCCAATATTGGGCATATGTCATTCTTGCAGCAGTAATCATATACCACATTAAAGTTCTTTTCGCAATATTAACTTCTTCCATTTTTAGTCCCAATAAAAGAATTTCTGGTTCTTTTTTAAATGTACACTTTGTAATTTTCTCCATTTCCGCATGAATCTCAGCCCAAAAGTTCTTAGCTTTTTCACAAGTCCACCACATGTGATAAAACGAGCCTTCACTTTTTTTACATTTCCATCATTTACTAGACATATCAGTATTCATATTAGCAATCTTTTTAGGTGTCATATACCATCTGTACATCATCTTGTAACAATTTTCTTTTAAGTTAACACAAGTTGACAATTTGAATGCTTTTTCCCATAAAAATTCCCATGATGACATTGTTATTTCTTTATTCATATTAATAGCCCATTTTATCATTTGTTCTTTTACCACCTCATCTTCAGTATACCATTGTAACAACACTTTATACATTTTTGAAATTACTTTTTTCTCCCCTTCAAACCATACCCTCTCTATTTCATTCATTTTTTCTCTAAAGCCATATACTTTTTTATCTTTCTTTAAAAAATCATTAATTTGTCTATATTGAAGCCAACCATATTTCACAGTCATTTCTTCATGTTCCCTCATTACAAAGTTTTTCCCCTCAATTTTCAATAAATCTCTATATTGTACCCAATTTCCCCCCTTATGAACAGTGAATGGTGTTATAACTTCTGCAGGGACAATCCAAAGAGGTCTCTCATCCGAAAAGTACCTCCTATATTTATTCCATGTATCATATAGATTCCTCCTAATATAATGGTGCTTAAAGAAACCATCAACTTTCTGTTTATCATACCACAAATATGCATGCCACCCAAATTTACAATCGTGGCCTTCCAGTGCCAAAAGCTTTATGTTACTAAGTGTAACCCATTGTTGCAGCCATGTCAGACAAACCGCTTCGTGGTACAATCTAAATTTCGGCAATTGAAAACCCCCTCTGTCTTTCGCATCCTGTAAAATTTTCTGTTTAATTCTGGGTTTTCTTCCTGCCCATACAAATTTTGAGATCTCTTTTTGCCACCTTTGGAAAAATTTTGCATCTTTTTGGGATCGTTTGAAACAAAAACATCAATCTTGGTAATACATTCATTTTAACTACAGAAATTCTTCCCATCAACGACAAGTTCAATGTATTCCATTTCTCAATATCCTGTTGAATTTTTATCCAAAGTTTTTCATAATTATTTTTGTATAAATCCATATTTTTCATTGTTAAATCTACTCCCAAATACTTAGTTTTTTTCACCACTTCACATTGAGTTATGTCCTGTAAGTCTTTTCTTCTCTTTTCTGACATATTCTTACACAACACCTTTGATTTTTCTTTATTCAAGTAGAAGCCCGCTAGATCTCCAAATTCTTTTATTTTATCCAATAATACTGGCATTTTTTCCAAGGGTTCTTCAATAATAAACATTACATCATCCGCAAAGGCTCTATACTTGTATGAAAAACCCTTAATATTCAAGCCTTGTATCCTTTTATCTTGTTTGATTTGTTTCAGTAAAACCTCCAAAATCCAAATAAACAGTAACGGGGACAGCGGACATCCTTGCCTTGTCCCCTTTTGTACTTTAAAAGGCTCAGTCAATTCCATATTAACAATTAATGCTGCTTTTTGCTCTGTATATATAGCCTCGATACAATTTCGAAATTGTTCTCCAACCTCCAATTTGTCCAAAACTAAATACATAAAGTCTCAATTTAAATTATCAAAAGCTTTTTCGGCATCTGCAAAGAGAAAGGCTACTTCTTTTTCTGGATGTTTTTCATAGTATTGAATAGCATCAATTACAACTCTCATGTTATCCCTAATTTGTCTATTGGGCAAAAAGCCAGCCTGATCTTCATCAATCACTCTTGAAAGATACAACTTAAGTCTTTCCGAAATAATTTTGGCAAACAATTTATAATCCGTATTTAAAAGAGAAATTGGACGATAATTTTTAACCTTCGTTAAATCCTGTGATTCTTTCGGTATAAGCGAAATGTTTGCTTCTTTCCAAGATGCAGGTATTCTTTTAGATTCCCTTATGTCATTCACCAGAAGTTCTAATTTTGGGATAAGCTCCGTCTTCCATTTTTTATAATATTTCACTGTATATCCATCAGAACCTGGAGCCTTTCCCAACTTAGCCTCCGATATCGCCATATCCACTTCTTCTTTGGTAATTGGTTTGTTTAATAAATCTTTACTTTCTGCCGACACCTTTTTGATTTGAAATCTTTCCAAATACCTCTTAATTTTCTCTTTATCAATATTTCTCTTCACAAACAGGTTCGCGTAGTACTTAAAAAATTCTCTTTTAATTGCACTATTATCCGTAATTTCCATACCTCGTTCCACAATCTTCGTAATGAATTTGTTTTCTCTTCTCTTTTTCAATTGCCATGCCAAATATTTTCCTGGTTTATTTGCCCCTTCAAAGGATTTTTGCTGTAATTTCTTCAAGTTCCAGTAAATCTCTTGATTCAGAATTACATCCAGTTGTTCTCTCAAAATTTGTAAGTCTCTTATTATTTTTTTCTTTCCTGGTCTCTTTTTCAAGTCTTTCTCTTTTAACTTAATTTTTTCCAGAATTGCAGCTTGTTGTGCCTGCTTCTTTTTCTTTTCTTTAGTATTCAAAGAGATCAACAATCCTCTCATCACCACTTTGTATGTATCCCATACAGTTTGAGCAGGCATGTCCGGAGTTGAGTTTACTTGAAAAAAGCTTTCTGTTTCTTTCTTCAAAGTGTCTAAAACTTCTTTCTGATCTAGCAAGTCCTCATTTAATCTCCATCTCGGTGTTCTGTGTCCTTCCTTTATTCTCCACAAGATAGGGTTATGATCTGAATGGATCCTAGGAAGAGTTTCACACAGTTTTGTCTTCAATATCAAATCTCCTGTCACCCACATCATGTCGATTCGAGAAAAAGAGTCATGTCTGTTTGAAAAGTAAGTAAAGTCCTTTACCGTTGGGTTTAGAGTTCTCCACACATCTTGCAATTTTTCCTGTTCGATCAATTTAAAGAAAGTCTTGGGCAGTTTACCTATTTTCTCTTCAGTTCTCTTCGTTTGCCTATCAATTTTATTATTAACTGTCCCATTAAAGTCTCCTGCCAAAACGATTTGTTCATATGTAACTTGGTCCAATTCTTGTGTCAACTCCTGAAAAAAATTATCTTTTGCTCCATTTGGTGCATAAATGTTAACAATAAGTACTTTTTTCTGTTGCAAATTCACTTCCACTGCAATGTATCTTCCATCTTTATCTTTAATATTTCTTTTGGTTCCAATTCCGGTTTAACAGAAATCACCGTTCCTTTTTTCTTTTTGGTTATGAGTGAAGAGAACACTTGTCCCAATTTTACAGCTTCAAGATATTTACAGTCTTGGTTTCTGATATGAGTCTCTTGTAGACAAATCACACTACATTTTTGTTTAGCCAACCAGTGTTTTATAGTTTTTCTTTTATTAGGGGAATTAATCCCATTGACATTCCAAGATATGACCTTGCACTCCATCATGCTTCTTGTTCCTTATCACCAAAGTCTTTACTATTTGCGTACATGAATTCCACCATCTGTCCTGAACTCTTAATGGTATGTCTTAAACTCTGATGTTCAAAACTCACTCCTTGTGGGAGCTCCCACCTGTATTTAATCTTCAGTGCTCTCAGTTTCTCTGTTAATTTTTTGTACTTTTCCCGGTCTTGCAACACAACTCTGGGGAGCTCCTTCATCACCATTATCTTATTTCCCTCCATTTCAAAAGGTTCAACAAACTGTTTTCTCATAATTATCTCATGCATGCGCTTGGTCAACAATTGTACTATTACATCTCTTGGAAGATTACTTCGTTGTGCAATCGCCGAATTAACTCTGTAGATCAAATCAAAGTGATACTCTATATCATCCGCATCATCTTTCAGGTATTCTGCAAAGGCTTTAATTACTCTGTTTCTTATATCATCCTGTACTTCTTCTTTTATACCTCTCAATCTGATGTGGGTCTGCATAGCTCTACAATCCACCATAACATCCAATCTTTTATTTTCTTTTACCACTGTATCGACTTTCAGGTCGACATCCTGCATTTTTTGCTCAATTTCAGAAGATTTCTGTGAGATATTCTGCATTTCTTTTTTCAGTTCCCCTACTTCTTTTTCCAATATCGCTCCCACCTCTTTCTGCATCTCCACTAATGACTCCTTCACCTGTTTGCCCATTTCTTGAATAGCATCAGTCATTCTTTGTTCCATGGCCTCCATGGCTGCCTGTAGTTCTTTCTCTTTCTTTGTTGATGCCATCTTCGGTGATGCGAAGGATGCAGCTCTTTGTCTCCCACGTAGCTCCGTCGTTTTCTCCGTTTCTGAATCCACTTATATAATTTAATAGGTCTTAATTTGCTTATTCGAATTCACGTATTTTCGCTGGTACAAAACCTCCTTTTCACTTATAAAAAGTCAAATTAAGTTTTAGTCCTCCTCAAAATGTCGGGCGATCTTTCTCTATGGTTTCTAAGTGTAGAGTAGGTCAATTTTGCTTACTTCCTGTTCTCCACCATCTTGTTCCGCTCTCCTACTTCCTGTGCGCTTCTTCAGTCGTCCCCCTCACCAATCCGGGTCCGACGCTCTTTTCGCTCCGATGTACTTCCTCTCAAGACGATCCCGTCTAGACAAACTCTTGGTGGTTCGCTTGTACGTCACTTCCGCTTCTTTGTGCTCCGTCACCACCCCACTGTTTGAGAGCCGGTAACTTTCCAACCACAGGAATGCAAAACAAAGTTCTTTTTCTTCAGTTTTTACGCTTTTTACAGCACTTCTGGAAATTTCTTTAACTTAGTTCAGCTTGTATGATCTACTAAACTTATCCGGTTCACTCCAACAATTTTTCAAGCTCCGTCCGGTAAGTAAATTTAATCTTGTTACCTTGTTTGTTCATCAATCTTCACACTGCTTCGATTAGTCCAAATTCCTTCTCCTTATACACCACGAAGCCGGGGAATGGCCACTCTATGCTGATTACTCAGCTCGAAAAGCTCCTTTAGAGATGTAAAACAACGCCCGTTCCGAGATAGAAGATCAAAGCCACTCACAAGCTTCCTCCGAAGCTTGTTAGTGCCAATCTCAACTTTCTCTGGGGTCTTGCTGTTTGCCAGACTCCCCCCCCCCGCCTGGGGAGGGTTGCGTTGGGCTATGCGATTAGCCCAAACTGTCAGAAGGAGCCTTCGCCCACTCTGAGCGATTTCAGAGTGTGTCAAATCGCCATTTTGCCCGACCGGAAGCCCATCCTCAATGTTTTTTCTTTAACAACTTTTAAGTCCTGGACAGGTGGAAATTTATCTGTGAAGTTCTGTACCTTCCCGCAAATAGCAGTCTAAAGAGAGCATTTCTGAATTTAAAAATGAAGGGGAACACAAGAGAAAACTATGGACCCCTCATACCTTTACTTCTGCTGGTGGAAAAGCCATTTGGGGAGGATGGTTTTGAGCTGGAAAAGGACTGAAGACCCATCCAAGCCAGCTGTGAATTAAAAACCAGAGGTGGGAGAAGAAGACTCAAAGAACTCACATATAATGTATGGACAAACTTGCATTCAGGTTTTATTTGGGCAAAGTTTCCATGGATATGGCTTTAACTACCGATGAGTACTTTGAACTACACCTGCAAAGTAGAGGAGAACATTGGAGAACATTGCATGATGTCACAGCAGCTCAGCCAGTATAATTACACTGACTTTCATACCACCAGGGCTTGTTTTGTAGAAAAAGCCCAGCAGGAACTACTTAGCATAACAGGCCACACCCAACAGCAGAAACTCATTAGCATAGTAGGCCACACCCCTGAGAGCACAGCATATTAGGCAACACCCCCATGTCACCAGAAGTGTTGTCATCCAGCCACACCCACCTTTTGCTTCTTATTCTGTTTACCTTGTTTGTTATCAAAACCCAGGGCTTTTTTGTAGCAGGAACTCCTTTGCATGTTAGACCACACACCCCGAATGCAGCCAGTCCTAATGAGTTTCTGCTGTTGGGTGTGGCCTATTATGCTAATGAGTTCCTGCTGGGTGTGGCTAACTCAGGAGCCAGCCAGAACTCCATTCCTGTGCGTTCCTGCCCAAAAATAGCCCTGCATACCACCATTTCACAGCTGTGTTGTCCTCAAGCTGATACTGAACATCACATTTCAGCATGACAGTTATTCACTGATATGAAAGTGTTGCGTAGTGAAAATGTACTCAGATGTTTACAAGTATACTCACAGTGTCCAGCAAATATTGTGACCAAAAAATGCCAGGTGCAAAATATAACCCTTTGGAAATTTGGCCAATTCATTCTTTCTTGTTCCATCACAGATGCTCCTCTCCTAAGTCAACAGTTCTCGGCATCCATTTATGCTAAGTATTGGGTTCCACCATTAATTGTTCTTGTGGTGCTGCTCATCCTGTTCTTCATGTACAGACGAAAGAGAGGAAGAGGTGAGATACTTTTGCCATTCATTTCATTACTAAGGAATATTATATGAAGGAAGTTCTCACTCCTCCACATGCAGCTGCTGGAGTGACCTTGGGTCAGTCACAAGTTCTTTCAGAGCTGTTCTCTTAAGGGCAGTCCTCAAGAGAGCTCTCTCAGTCCCACCTACCTCACAGGGTGTCTGTTGTGGAGAGGGAAAAGAGATTGTAAGCCGCTCTAAGACTTCTTTGGGTAGTGAAGGGCGGGGTCTCAATCCAATCTTCTCCTCTAGAAAATAATTACTATTCCTTAACATCACAGACTTTTGGCATCCCTTATGATGGGAAAAGGCCATAGGGCAGATACTTTGCATGCAGAAGTCCCCACTTCATGCTTTAATTAAAAGGAACTCCGATAGAACCCTGGCTAGTAATATGATGTCAGTTCAAGAGTATTTTCTATGAGGGTTGATCATTGCAAACATTAATCTGCATTGGCCCCGGTCACACGGGCCGGATAACCCCGGGGGGAGGCGTGGCTAATTGTCCCGGAGGAAACTAATGCGCGGCCACCTGAGCACACGTCCCGGTCGAGGTCCCGTGGTTAGGGGGGAGATGCCGACCAGATGGGTATCCTGCAGTGTGGCACAGAAACCGTGCCGCGCGATCGCACTAGCAATCGCTCTTTGTGCGCATGCGCTGTTGCGCAACCTGCGGAGACTTGGGAGACAAAAAACCCCTTGTGTGCAACAAACAGTGGCGGGCACGGATGCCACATAAGTCCACCGGAAATGCAATCAGACGCCCCGCGGCTTCTGGAATCTAGTACCTCGGAGGTACTAGTTTTTTACTCCGCATCTTCGGCGGGAAGCCTCAGGTTAGCCAAGGGAGCTCTACGCTTCCCAGATGTTGCGGTGTGATCGCGCCCGGAAAATCTGCCTACCATCCATATCGTCAACGCGGCAAATGCTCTGTGTAACCGCAGCCATTGTATTGCATGGTGCAAATGGCTTTTTTAAACATTCCCCAGAGCTCTAGAGGTTTCTTATAAGTCATTGCAAGCTTGCTAAAGGAAGTTGTAGAAGCCATTATTTTGAAGTAGAACAATTGCTCCATAGATGGCTAGATAGTCCCCATTTTTTTCCAGACAGTTTGAAATCTGGACCCTATAGCCAGCCAATATTGAAAGCCACAGCAAACCTCAATGGAATTGTTGAAATGGATTCCTGAGGTGGCAAAG